TTCGCTTCCCAGCGGGGCGGCCCGCCCGGTTCACACGCCCACGCTCCCTGCAGCGCCGCCGGGCCTCCCCGCCGCGCGCCGCCCTTTGCCTTCCGCCCGCGCCCCGTGCGGCTCCCCGGCCGGCGCGCCGGGGCGGCTGCGGGGCGCTTGCTCACCAGGAGGCCCCCCGCCGCGCCGCGCCGCGCAGCTCCGCGAAGGCGCAGCGGGGCGTGTGAACCGGGCGGGCCGCCCCGCTGGGAAGCGAACCGCGCTCTGGCGGTCCCTCAGCCCCCGGTGCCGGCTCGCCGCTCGTGGGCGCGTCTGCACCAGCTTTTCCCGACCCGAGACGCTCCGGAAACTTGGAGTACGACTCCCAGCATCCCCGGACGAGGCTCGGGGTGAGGGGGACCGTACTCGGAAGGGGATCGCGCTTATTGAAGTAGAAAACATCTGATGGGCGACGGCTGGCAAAGGGCGACCTACCTGTTCCCCATATAAGGAACGCATGGTGATTTTAAAAAATGAGCCCCCTGGCACCGAACCTGAGAAAACGTGGGTCCCGACCCTAACATGCGGCTGGAATACGCACGCCCCAACACAAATGCCAAAGTGTCCTCTTTTCGGATGATGTTCTGCACAACTCATTCTGCCCCTTCCTAGGCACCTTGATTTTTCCGTCCCTAACCCATGCTTCAAGATGTTGAAAATGCCCGTTTTCTGGGCATTTTTCTACTCGGCTCATTCTCAATTGCCAATCCTAGAAATGTTCCAAGTCTCAGTACCACTACAGCAACATTTCTTTTCCTAACACTAACCTGGATGTTAGGCCTAAGCCTAATATAGGGCTGAAATACACACATTTCCACACAGATTTCCAAAATGTCCACTTTATGTCTTCTGCATAACTTATTCTTCCTGCCAATTCTGAAAGCAATGCACGGCTCACTAGCATCACAGGGACCTAAGTTTTTCGAACCCTAACCTGAGCCAAACCCTCATGTAGGGCAGAAACACCCATCTCTCAAGATGGATTTTCAAAATACCAGATTTCCAGAGTCCTAGTCCAGCACTCAACCAGCATATTACATACATACATATGCTTGGAGGCACTTCCCTAAACACAAGGAGCTCACTCTCAGGACAGAAAGTATAACTTCCAAACGAGCTTGCAGTCTGTCATTTTTTTAGTAAAACTAATCTGGGGTCCAAGGAAGATCCAGGCTCAGATCTCCACTCAGAATCACAGCCAGCACGGTGGCTTTGTGCATAGCCATATTTCAGGGAATGGTTGGAGTCCTTCAAGTGAGCAGGAAGTTTTCAAGCAGCAGAGAGTGGTAGAGCTGAAGGTCACAGATACAGTGCATGAGAAAGTAATGGCAGAGTAGGCTGGAATATGGCCTTCCAGAGGGGCGATGGTGACAAAGCGTTTATGCTGGTGTGGAAAGGAGCAGGAGGCCAGGGAAGAGATGTTCTCAACAGCAACAGAAAGCAGATTGTTTTGGCAACAGGAGTTTGGGGAAAAGTAACAAAGGCTGTTTGTTTCTCAGAACCACATTCTTATTTGTTTGATTCACTGAAGAGTCTGCAGGCCAGTAGATCAAAATTCTCAGGCCATGCACTGTGAGGTGGTTCACTTAATATACCCCGCAGTGTTGTGGGTGCACCTCCATCACAATCACTTGGCCTGGGGGCAGCCGGGGGCTTGCTTGGCGACCAGATAAGGTGCACATCCGGAACTGCGAGCCGTGGCAGTTTCAGGAGGGTTTGCAGGATCAAAGCATTTTGAGAAGTGGGTTTAAGACACACGACATGGCCGAAAACCTAAAAATGCTTTTCTTGTAATTGTCTGGTGCAGGTAGAGCGGGGCTTTGGGACCAATGACCAGGTGATGCAGCCTGGGCCCCCCACAAATGGCTACCCAAAGAGCAGCAGGTAGAAAAAGAGACTCCATTTGATTCTTGTAGTCACCAGAAATCCGGGTGCTAGGATTTCAGTGAGGTTAAGACGTGAAATTACAGAGGCTCAAAGGGTGTGTGTTCAGTCCAAGGTCTAAGAATGACTAGCAGCAGCACTAGTTAAAGCTTACAAAAATGTTGTTAATAATAATATTATGTCAACATTATGTTAATAATAATTGACATTATGTTGATGATGGTATCCCCCCTCCGTACAAAGGACTTTGAAATGTTAGTCTTGCTTATCTGCATCATCCCTGCTTAGCACATTGCTGCTCTTACTTTGAAGAGGGGTTCGGGCAAATGTTGCTGTGTAAGCTGCCCTGGGTCCCCACAAGAGGGAAAAAGGCAGGATATAAATGCAGCGACGATGACAGCATCAGCCAGCAAAGTTGCAGCTGAGAACACTCAGGCTTCCCCAGCGTGATGCTCTTTAGATGTTCCGGACGTCAACACCCTGCTCATAGCGTGGCCAGGAATACTGAGACTGCACAACATCTGAGAGGTACCAGGTTGGAGAAGACTGGCACAACTAATCCTGTCTCTGCACAAGGCAGATCACACCTTCTATGGCTCTGTTACCAGCGTGGTTTGAATTAAGGGTGGTTTGGAGCTTTAGCTGCTCTTGTCATTCAAAACATTCACTGCCTCTGCTGATCACTTGTGTCCAATGAACACATCTCAGATTTTCTCTTCCCCTCAGCAGGATTCAAGTAGATGAATGTGCTTGACTCTCTTGGGCTGCCGACCATTTTGCTAGTCTGCTGGGAGCCCCTAGGCAAACTGATGCCTATTTTTTTAACTCATGGTTTTGAAAAGCTGCTGAATGATTCTGTTCTGTAATAAATGTCAACACACCACACAGTCTTTCATGTCCAAGTAGTGTGTCTCCTCAGGTTGTCCAAGGGCTGGAAAACCCCCCGGACGAAGATTCTTGAGGACTCAGGAAGGGATCCAGCAAGTGCAGTGCTTTGCTTTTTCCCATGAAAGTGGGTACCAATATTTTGGGGAGAAAGTAGAAGAGCACTAGAATACGATTCTAACCATTCTCTTTTTCTGGTGACCCCTGCCATTGAGAGCCAGGGGTGGTTAGAATGTCGGGCTGGGGAGCAGAAGGTCTGGATTCTTGTCTCCACTCAGCTCCCTGGGTGAATTGGGTCAGGCCTTCAGTCTCAGCCTAGCCTACCTCACAGGACTATTTTAGAGTGAATAAAATAAGCCACTCTAAGAATCCAGTCCTTTCATGAGGGGAAAACATGATATAGCAGCAGCATGTTGAGCTTACTGACAGCTCCCTAGATGCATCCCAGGTTCTGTTCCTTGGTCTCATTGTGGTATGAAAAAATACTAGAAACTGGCTTTTATGCACCGATGGCATTTCATTTAGTTTATTTTCATGTCTGCATTCCTGATAATAGACTACCTCCAGCAGTGTTTTATACAGCAAAGCGATTAACACACATTTTAAAAATCAATAATAAACTGTTGCCAATTATTGTCAGTGTATAAAAATGAGGAAACCAAAGCAGGGAACTTCTGAAACATTCCCCTTCCTGTCATTCCTCATCAACTTATCTTCCTGGGCATGATCTGGTCTGAATCATGTTATTGTCCTTGCTGCCATGGATCATTCCTGCCAGACACAGCTGGGGTCTAGTTCTGATTTACTGACCCTGTGAATGAGACAGCTATCACCATGGGATCTCCCCGCACCCTTTGAGCTTCAGGAATGCAAACAACGGTCGGTTGGGGTTGCTCCTGTGAAAGGCCTGGTTGCCTTTTCAGGAGGAAAGACACATTTATTTCTACACACCGTTTTGTTCAACCAACAGTTGTTGAGGTACAAATTGATGTGGGAAGGAAGGAATTGTAATCCATGTCAGTTCTCTCTACTTCTACAACGTAGGATAAAACAGGCATGAAATATGCTTACCTGAAATATTTGCGTTTTGTAAACTTACGAGGGCAGAAGTTCAGATGCTTTGCATCACACGGAAGTGGATGTTAGCTAATGGTGATTATGAGAAGCTCCATACCTCTTGAGGGTGGCTCCTGTGGGTATGTCAGTGTTACACTAGGAATAGTTCCAGGTGACGTTTTTACCATGCAGTCACTCTGTCTCATTCACATCATTGTCTGTGTTCAAACGATGCCATGTTCCCCTTTTACCGTCCTCCTGTGTTTACCCACCACTTTTCTCTTTCGATGCTTTACACACAGACAACACACAAAACCACTGAGGAAAAGACGGAATGGCTGCCCAGTGCTTTCTCCTAGGTAGTGCACAAACCCATCTGTATGGATTCACGCCTGCTGGTTCTTTTGTCAGACTTATAAATATGAACAGCAGTATGGCTGAAACATCCATATGTGTGCAGCAGCTGAGTTTCCATTAGGGTTTCCAGATGTTTAAGGATGTGTGTCTGTCATTCTTGCTATGGTCTCAAACCAGCAACACAGGCAAGTTTGCCTTTCAGGAGGACAGAATGAAGAAAATTAAATGCAGCCGTTCTCCACCCTTCAAACGGCGAATAGGTATATCTAGCTTTCTGACCTGGCTTACCTGTGCCAAGTGGCTGAATCATTCAGACAAAGCAAATGATTTCATGTGAGAGAGGTGTGTAGAAGCCAGCCCTCACACATGGATGCCTCTATGTCAGTGGTGCACCCCAGCTATGCTTGGTGTGTCTAGGAGCCCAGTTTGGCCCTTTGGAGTTTCCTTGATGACTAAGACCGTTGCCCTAGCTCT